ACATACATATATTTGTATGCATATATATATATTATATATATATATATATATATTATATATATATATATATATATTATATATATATATATATATATATATCCTCTATTTCCCTCATTCACTCACGCTCACTCTCTCTCTTCCTTTCTATCTCCATAGCGTTAATCTCAATAAAGTGTAATCAAATTCATTAAATGATCGATGGGAGATGCCTTTCACCACCACTCTCCATCAGATCCTGCCCGGGACTCTCCTGCTCCAACACGAAGACACATCTACAACCTCCGTCTACGCTATCAGCCTCCAACAACCATCTCCATCAATAAAAGCCTGAAACCAGCCCATGCTTCTCTATACATAACCACAGAGAGAGAGAGCGCGAGAGAGAGAAGAGAGAGAGAGAGAGAGAGAGAGAGAGAGAGGAGATGAGAGAAGAGAGAGAGAGAGAGAGACGAGAGAGAGAGAGAGAGAGAGAGAAGACAGACAGAGAGAAGGAGTATATATTATAGCATTCAAAATAAAGAGAGAGAGAGAGGGAGAGAGAACAAAAAACAAGAAAAGCTAATTAATTTGTGATAATTATAAGCCCGTCTATCATAGTCTGTGTATTTCTGAGATATAGATTTTCACTTTCCTTCTTCCTCTCTCTTAGTGCAACTTATTCTTTGTCTTTTATCCTCTCTGTTTCGTGTGTGTTTCGTTTTACTGTTTTTCTTTTTATCTCTCATTTGCTCTGTGTCTCTCATTGTTTATTATCTCTGTTTCGTCAATCTCTTTGACAATCTTGCCCTTTCTATCTCCATTTCTCTGTCTCTGCTGTTTATCGTTCTGTATTGTCTGTTTTATCTCGTTTTATATATTTTGTCTCATTCTCTTTTTATCTTTCCTATCTTTAATATATCCTATATTTTCTATCCTTTAGTCTATATTTCTTGTTCTATCTCTCATTCTGTCCTGTCTTTATCATATCTCATTTTAAACCTCTAATGTCTCTAACTCTCTGTCTCTCCTTTCTTTGATTTTGGTCTTTCCTATCTCTCATCATCCTGTCTCTCCTGTTTCTTATTCTTATCTATCTCTCCTATCGCTCAGTTTCTCTTTATCACTCTTATCTCTATCTCTAGCTCTCTCTCTGCCTTCCCTCGTATCATTCTCGCACTGTCTCTCTCTCACCTCTCTACCAACCACTCACCACCATCTCTCTTTCTCTCCTCCTTCTTCTCCCCCTCTATCATCATTCATCATCCTACTCTGTCCTATTTTCTCACTTCATCCTTATATCCTTTATAAGCCCTCCTGTTACGTTCTTGCTGACCCGCGTTCAAATTCCGCACTGCCAGGAATTCAGCACTGACACACCAAGAATGTATATACTTAATCATTACCATCATTAATATTGTGATCTCTCATTTTAAACCTCTAACTTAATCATTACCGTCATTAATACTGTAATAAACAATCGTTGTCATCGTTAATATTGTAATAAAATTAATAATTACCATAATTAATGTTGTAATAAACGATCATTACCATTATTAATATTGAAATAAACAATCATTACCATCATTAATATTGGAATAAACAATCATTATCATTAATATTGTAATAAACTTGATCATTATCGTCATTATTGGAATAAACAATCATTACCATCATTAATATTGTAATAGAATTAATCATTACCATCATTAATACTGTGATAAATAATCATTATCATCACTGATATTGTAATATACAATCATTACCATTATTAATATTCGAATAAACAATCATTACCATCATTAATATTGGAATAAACAATCATTACCATCATTAATATTGTAATAAATAATCATTATCATCATTAATATTGTAACAAAATTAATCATTACCATTATTAGTATTGGAATAAACAATTATTACCATCATCAATATTGGAGTAAACAATCATTATCATCATTAATATTGTAATAAATCTAATCATTGTCATCATTAATATTGCAATAACCTTAATCAATACCATCATTAATATTGGAATAAACAATCATTATCATCGTTAACATTGGAATAAACAATCATTATCATCGTTAACATTGGAATAAACAATCATTATCATCGTTAACATTGGAAATAAACAATCATTATCATCGTTACATTGGAAATAAACAAATCATTATCATCGTTAACATTGGAATAAACAATCATTATCATTAATATTGCAATAAACTTAATCAATACCATCATTAATAATGTAATTAAACCTAATCAATACCATCATTAATATTGGAATAAACAATCATTATCATCATTAACATTGGAATAAACAATCATTATCATTAATATTGCAATAAACTTTATCAATACCACCAATAATATTGTAATAACCTTAATCAATACCATCATTAATATTGGAATAAACAATCATTATCATCATTAATATTGCAATAACCTTAATCAATACCATCATTAATATTGTAATCAAACCTAATCATTATCATCATTAATATTGTAATAAACCTGATCATTATCATCATTGATATTGGAATAAACAAGTAACATTGTAATAAACTTTATCAATACCACCAATAATATTGTAATCAAACCTAACCATCACCATCATTAACATTCTTATCATTACCTGACATAAGGATCACAAGCGTTGTTGGAACCGAGCGTCCTGGAGGGCAGGTTTCTGATCCTGAGGAGGCCGACCTGCAGTTTCTCGGTCTCCTGGTGGTAGTGCAGGGTGAGGAAGACCCGCCCGAGGTGACCTGGTGGGTAGCTGCCCGGGTCGTCGAGGTGGTCGGGTATGCGGTAGAGTTCAGGGTTCAGCGTGCCCAGGCTGTATCCTGAAGGTGGGGGTTTGGGGGAGGAGGAAGGGAGAGAGGGAGGAAGAAAGAAGGGAGGGAAGGGGTGGGTTAGAACGGTGGTTTGTGATCGTGGGGGGGACATTTGCTTGTCTTTGTCTCGTCGTCTCGTTCTCTCTCTCTCGTTCTCTTTCTCTCTCTCTCCACACACACAACACAAACACACGCACGCACGCATGCACGCACGCACCGCACGCACGCACGCACGCACGCACACACACACACACACACACACACCACACACACCACACACACACACACACACACACACACACACACAGACACGCCACGCACAAAAACACACTCACAAAACACAGACAATACAGACGGACACACACACAAACACACGCCTTTGTCATGAACATTTGTCAATATGAACAAACAAACACACATAAACACACATACATACAAGCTCATTTTCATGTTACGATCATAGAAATCACGCAAACAATATGATGATATAAAATACATAATCATTGGTCTGTTTGTTCACTTCCCTACTTTATAAGACAGGAAAAGAAAGACGAAAATGAGAAAAAAAAAGAAAAGAAAAAAAAAAAAAAAAAGAAACCCAGACGGAGACAACATAGAACAGGAATAGAAAAAGATAGAATAAAAATTAAAGCGAAGAGAAAAAAAAGGAGGGAAAATATTGTTTAGAAACGAAAAAATCAAAACAAAGAAAGGAAAAAAAGTCAAAACAAAGCAAAGCAACAACAACAAAAACATCAAACCACATCAAAACACAAAAAATTAAAACATAAAACAAAGCACAAAAACAAAACAAGACAAAACATAAACAACACACACACACACACACACAAAAATGAAACACAAAAGGAGAAACTCAAGAAATAAAAACAAGAAACAAAACCATAAAACAAAAACAAGACAAAAATAGCACAAATAAGACAAACAAAAATCACAAAACAAAACATAAAATCAAGACAAAGAAAAAAAACACGAAACAAAACAAAACAAAACACAAAATCAAGACAATTAAAGAAAAAACACGAATACAACAACAACAAAAAAAAAAACATAAACTCAAGACAATCACAGAAAAATAACACAAAACAAAACATAAAATCAAGACAATTAAAGAAAAAAACACGAAAAGAAAAAATTAAAAACAGAAAACAAAAGCCGTGGCACCTTGCAGGGACCGCCTCCTCATGTCCGTGATGGAGGACCGCCTCGCCTCGGACGCCACGCCCCCTCCGATGGCGTCCAGGGAGCCCAAGGACGCCAAGGACGACGACGAAGGGGAGGCGAAGTCCTGCGTGGAGGAGGAGCCGCTGCTGCCGCCGCCGCCGCCGCTGCTCCGCCTGCTGTCGTCGGAGGTGGGGGAAGGAGAAGGGGGGAAGGGGGAAGGAGGAAGGGGGAGGAGGAGGGAGGAGGGGAGGAGGAAGGAGGGGGGAAGAAGGGGGAAGGGAAGGGGGAGGATGAGGAGGGGGGTGAGGATGAGGATGAGGATGAGGGAGGGAGGATGAGGAGGAGGGGAGGGAGAAGGGGAAGAGGTGGGAGGAGGTGGGAGGAGGGGAGGATGATGAGGATGATGAGGAGGGAGAAGGTGGTAGGAGGGGAGGATGAGGAGGAGGGAGGGAAGGGGGAAGGGGAAAGAAGGGAGAAGGAAAGAGGGAGGAGGGGAAGGATGGGGGAGGATGAGGAGGGGGGGAGGAGGAGAAGAAGAGGAGAGAGAGAGGAGGAGGGAGGGGGAGGGAAGGGAAGGGGGGAGAGGAAGGGGAAAGGGAAGGAAGGGGGAGGTGAGGGAGGAGGGAGGAGGTGGGGGGGGGGGGGAGAAAGGGGTGAAGGAGGAGAGAGTGGTGGGGATGGTGGTGGAGAGGTGAAGAGGAAGGGTGAGGCGGAGCAGAAGGAATGAGGAAGAGAGAGGAGATCAGGAAAAAGAATGAAAGAGGAGGATAAGGAGAATAAAGAGGAGAAGGAGGGATAAGGATGAGCACAAGAAAGAGAGATCAAAGTTTCGTTCATAATAATAAATATATTAAATATGTATATGCTTTACACAATGGATATGAATTTTCTGGAAAAAAACACTCAGATCTCTACTATACACGTATTATAATCAAATCAATAAAAATAATCTACTGCTTTTATATTTACAAAGATCTTGGGGCAAAATAGTGTTCAAAGATA